AAAGAAGCAGAACACTCTCTGACATAAATCACAGCAAGATCCTTTTTGACCCACCTCCTAGAGAAATGGAAATAAAAACAAAAATAAACAAATGAGATGTAGTGAAAGTTAAAAGCTTTTGCACAGCAAAGGAAACCATAAACAAGACCAAAAGACAGCCCTCAGAATGGGAGAAAATATTTGCAAATGAATCAACTGACAAAGGATTAATCTCTAAAATTTACAGGCAGCTCATGCAGCTCAATAACAAAAAAATAAACAACCCAATCCAAAAATGGGCAGAAGACCTAAATAGACATTTCTCCAAAGAAGATATACAGATTGCCAACAAACACATGACAGGATGTTCAACATCATTAATCATTAGAGAAATGAAAATCAAAGCTACAATGAGGTATCACCTCACACCAGTCAGAATGGCCATCACCAAAACATCTACAAACAATAAATGCTGGAGAGGGTGTGGAGAAAAGGGAACCCTCTTGCACTGTTGGTGGGAATGTAAATTGATACTGCCACTCTGGAGAACAGTATGGAGGTTCCTTAAAAACCTAAAAATAGAACTACCATATAACCCAACAACCCCACTACTGGGCATATACCCTGAGAAAACCGTAATTCAAAAAGAGCCACAATGTTCATTGCAGCTCTATTTACAATAGCCAGGACAGGGAAGCAACCTAAGTGTGCACTGACAGACAAATGGATAAAGAGGATATGGCACATATAAACAATGGAATATTACTCAGCCATAAAAAGAAACGAAATTAAGTTATTTGTAGTGAGGTGGATGGACCTAGAGTCTGTCATACAGAGTGAAGTAAATCAGAAAGAGAAAAACAAATATTGCATGCTAACACATATATATGGTATCTTAAAAAAAAAAAAAAAGGTTCTGAAGAACTTAGGGGCAGGACAGGAATAAATATGCAGATATATATAATGGGCTTGAGGGCACAGAGAGGAGGAAGGGTAAACTGGGACAAAGTGAAAGAGTGGCACGGACTTATACATACTACCAAATGTAAAATAGATAGCTAGTGGGAAGCAGCTGCATAGCACAGGTAGGTCAGCTCGGTGCTTTGTGACTACTTAGAGGGGTGAGATCGGGAAGGTGAGAGGCTGGTGCAAGAAGGAGGAGATATGGAGATATATGTATATATATAGTTGAATTACTTTGTTATAAAGCAGAAATTAACACACCATTTTAAAGCAATTATACGCCAATAAACATGTTTTAAAAAATGTGGCAAATCCTTACAGTGGAATATTATTCAATCAGAAAAATAATGATGTACTGATACATGCTATGAAACTGATGAACCTTGAAAAACCTTACGTTATGTGAGAGAAACCATACACAAAAAGCCACAAATTATGATTCTGTTTATATGAAATGTCCAAAATTGGCAGTTCCATAGAGACAGAAAATAAATTAATTTTTGCTAAGGGGTGTAGGGAGATGGGGCAATGACAAACGACTACTATTGGTTACAAGGTTGTTTTTCAGGATGATAAAAATGTTTTGGAGTTTGATAGTGGTGATGGCTGCACTACTCTGTGAATAGACTCAAAAGTACTCAATTCTATACTTTAACACTTAATTTTATCTCAATTGAAAATTAAACAAACAAAAATAAAACAGCCCCTACCACATATTTATCATACAACATGGAGAATGGCATATAGAAAACCCATAATATACACTAGCTATATAACTGTTTTATGAATTTGTCTTAAAATGACAATTGCAAACAGTGGATTGTAGTAATGCCTTTTTCAACTTTATACAATATAAAGTGTGGTGGGAAAGAAGACATGATATATAGAATTATGTGTTCCAAAGACATAATGCTAAAATAAAAACTCAGCATATTGAGACAACTGTAGTCTTAATTATCTTCATTCTCTAGATAAATGCATTACTCCCTGATGTCACAGACTTAACATGAATACAATTTTATATGCTATTTTATCCAGCACAAGAAGTGTTCTTCATTTACTAGTTGCTATGAAAAAATTTTGGCCACATATTCAACCTTAGCAACAGAAGAACTTACGTGGCTTTCTCGCATAATTGATTTTTTTTTTTTTTTTTTGGCGATATGAGGACCTCTCACTGTTGTGGCCTCTCCCGTTGCGGAGCACAGGCTCCAGACGCGCAGGCTCAGCAGCCATGGCTCACGGGCCCAGCCGCTCCACGGTATGTGGGATCCTCCCGGACCAGGGCACGAACCCGTGTCCCCTGCATCGGCAGGCAGACTCTCAACCACTGTGCCACCAGGGAAGCCCAGGATTTTTTTTTTTTTTCAAAGAAATCAAGTGGGGGAAAGCTATATAGGTCAAAGAAATTATTTTGAGTTTTTATTTTATATTTTAAAATTTTACTTTAGACTCTAGCTCCTTGTCACTTGAATGTATAATATGGGATACATAGGCAATATTGTAATCTCACTGCATACCACAAGGTAGGTATTTTTTAACTATGGCAAAGTAAAAAGGTACATTCTAGTTTCTGAACAAATAAAAGACTAGTACCAATGGCTGTTGGTTTACACTCAAACCCAATATTGGTTATTACACTGAAGGAAGAGTCATAGTACAGTGATTAGAGAAACAGAGTCAGTTGTTACTTCCTGAGTGAGACAAAAATTCCCAGCACTGCCTTGGGTGAATAACTTGGAGGAAATTTTGATTTGTGTTCTTTTTTCCTATGCCATATTGTTCTTTTCAAAAGAGCTATTGCATCTTGCATACTGCCAGACAGTGAATCAGCTGTGTCCATGCAGATCTTGCCATAATTTGTTGATAACAAGACTTTGCTGTCAGTCTGGCTTCAACTAATTGGACGTTGGATTGGCATCCAAGTCAAAGACAGTTTTCTATGTACTGGGCATTGCTAGCAATCTATGAGGCACTTTGAGCTGATAATTGTCCCAAGAAATGATGCCCTATGCCATAATTTTACCTATTAACTCAATCAGTTATGATCTTGGGGAGTACTGTAGTAGAGAATTTAAAAAAAAAACTGACAGGAAGCATTAACCACTAGGAAGTAAATCACAGAGGAAGTCAATGGCATGAGATATGGAGAAGAGGTGAGCTATTTGATAATGGAACTGAAGCAGAAGAAAAACAAGAGAGGTTTAAGCATGAAAATAAGGGACTACTAGAGTTGGTATTGGGTCACTAAAATTTGTGAGAAATGCTGTATTATATATCAGATGTGTTTGATACTTGGGTCATTTTCTATACAGTCTTACTTCAACAATGGATTCTTTACCAAATAAGACAGACTAAAAGACAGTATCTAAGATTATCATCTTACTCAGCACTGGTTCCTAAAGGGTCAGCAGCCTATGTGATAGGATTTGAGGCAAATCATAACCTTATATACTTTAAACATCTAAAATTATACCACTTAAGGTGTATTTTTGGTGAAATGTTTTCAAGTATGTTCTCTTGATATACAAATATCCTACCTTATTGAACTTTAGAATTCCTTAATAGAAAGGAACTGAATTGTCTAAAAAAGGAAGAAAGACATTAAATTCCAAAAATTCCAATACAGTGTTTATTCTCTATATTTCCGCCAAACAGGAACATAGGTAGATAGCTTGCTAATAAAAGCAATACATAGAGCTTTTACATGGACACAAAAGCCAAAATTCTTCAATATATTTAAAATATATATATAAGAAAACTTTTATATAATATTACCTGGGAAAAAATGATTTGCTGTTCATATTTTCCATATTATAATTGGGGGCTATATGATTTAAAATATTTATACAATTTTTATTTAAAACACAAACTTTTAGAGCTTGAAAAAGTTCCCAAACATTTATTACTATTCCTTAATTTTGCTAATGAGCAAACCGAAGAAAGAGGAGGTAAACCGGAAGAACAAAAAGGTAAGTTGCTTTAGTTCAGAGCTATTTTATTTATTTTCATTTTAAAAGTTTTCTTAGATGATGGCAGACAAGAATAAGAAATGCAGTGATGAAGACCTCAAAGTTAAAGTATCAATATTTGTTTTTGAAATGCTCTATGATTTTGCTTACCTATGAATGTCTAAATCAGTACATTTGTAATTAAACTTCAATATCTTTCTAATGTGTACTTCTACATATATGAAAGGTACTTAGTCAACTATCTGGCCTATTTCAGGTCTTCAAAAAAACTAATTAGCACCTCTTACAATCCATATGATAAGAAGTACAAATTCAGGAACTATCTTTATTAAATTACTCTTTTTTCAAATATTTGTATAGGACTTTACAGTTTACAAGCGATTTCATATTCATTATCATCACCAGGAAGCTGTGACAAATCAGGAAACAGAGGCTCATAGTTTAACTGCTGGGCCCAATCATGGCAATATCAAATGGTAGATTCAAAACTCACACCCAGAACTTCTGAATCCAAATATAGTTCTCCCCATCTCCAAGTTACTCCATAATAGAGATTGATTGAATCCTATCATATTGACCTCAGGTGCCTATTGATGTGTCACACTTTTTCTAAACCTGTGTTGCCCACTCTCCATGGACCTTTCAAGGTGGAATCAATTAAATGTAAAGATATAGCTAGATTTGTCTGTCCAGTAATGTGGGAGCAAGCCACCTTAATTAAGTTTTCCTCAATTCACATTAACTGTTTCTTCCTCTAGGCTGCATTACTCTGGTCTCTCCATGATAGTTCTGCATTTTTTTCTTCATACCAAATGAATTTTACATGTTGTATGAATATCAGACTGTGAAAACTTTGAGAATAACTTGATATCTACTCATCTTGGTATATTTAACATCACTCTCAACAGTTTATTGCATATTGGTGAAGACAGGAAAATATCAAGAATTAAAAACATAGATGCTCCAAATAAGCCCACAATTTACCTAAAGTTAATGATAATTGACAATAATACTATATTTTAGCATACACTTTTACTATCAATAAAATATTTTCTAAAAATAATATCAATAAAATAAGAATCTTACCTAGACCATGCCTATGTGTTGACATTGGTGGTAAGACAGTCCAAGTCTTGGTTTTGGGGTTGTAACATTCAACACTGTTCAATGTCTTTAAACCATCTCGACCTCCAATTACAAAGAGTTTGTCATCAATAACAGCCACACCAAACTGCAGTCTCCTGCCGTTCATCATCCCTGCCTGGATCCACAAATTTGTTCTGAGGTCATATTTCTCTATGGTTGTAGCTCCTGATAAAACATAAAATCACATAGTCACACTTTACTACTAATCCAACAAAGAATCTTCCCAAGACACTGTACAAATTAGGATGTGAAAACATTCTTGTCATGTTCATTTTTCTTGAAGAAAAAAAATTGGCAGAAAAACGAAGTAATATAAGTACTTTATTTTCTCTTCTTGGCAGACACTAATGATTAAAGTAGACACATATGTTCAGCTTGTTTGAATTACATAATGGTCTCATGCTAAACTATTGATTCAATAGAATCATTGTTGGGCATGACACAGTTCTGTGAGTAGATTTTACAACTTACATTTATCACTGTTTGCTATAAAAAATGCAACATAATCCTAGCTTGAAAAGACATTTATTAAAGCCCTTTTAAATAGCTAAGCTATGTATGTTATCTGTATAATTTCTTAAAGTGAAGAGAAGTTAATAAATTCTTTACCAAATTTCTCTTTAAATTTGTCTTATGCCTTAAATAGCAGAAGGGTTTAAAAGTCAATTTTAAGATATGTAAACAAATGTCAGCTGTGCTTTTTTTAAACCTTATTTTTAAAAAATGCATTCGGGGAATAGAAATAGAATTTAGAGACATAAAATTATCTTCTATCCTTATCAACTGTTAGAATCTCTAAACAAAATAGCTTATCCTTCCTAAAAGCTTTTTATGTATAAAATTGAGAAATGTAGTAAATCTGACTAATAAAATAGAAATCGAAAGAATAAGCTAAATTGCTGATGAGGTGTGTTTTAAGGGATTCAGTTAAACATTTCACATTAAAAACATTTACCTTGAACTAGTTCACAACTGTTTATATGATAAAATATAAACCAGCAAACACTGATCTTGCTTCAGTGTTTGATCTTAATGTTTACACTCACATTCAGCTATGTTTCATTTTCAGTGATTAAATATCCCTACATTTACAAGTCAACATTCTTGTGTACTTTCACTTATGCACTAAAGATCATTTTACTTGTAATGTATTACAAGTTTGCAAACTAGGGAAGACATTCCTCAGGGGACTGATTTACTCTGTAGAACATAACCAGCAATGAACTAAATAAATATAAACAACTTGGCAGGAAAATTTTGTTAATTGAAGTAAAATGGTATAATTTATGTTCAATTTTTATTCAAAATTGACAAAGCTGTAATAATATAAATACTGAGTTAAAATGAATTAAATCTGTTTTTTGATTATTAAATATATGAGCTAATTTTAATACAACTAAACATTAAGTATTATAAGACTACTATTATTTTTAGAGTAAAAATAAACTGGAATATTCATAAAAGTCATTTGGTACTGTTTAGTAACATAAGATAAATTATTTAAACAAAAGTACTTCTTTTATGCTTAAATGTATTTATTATGTTTTATTGATATGTTAAATGTTTTATTCAAATATGTACAAATTGAAATTCCAAGGTGAACTAAAGTATTAAATAATTTCAAGGTCATGTGAATTCTCAAAACTTGATAGCATTGGGATTCCATGAATGCCTAACTAAAAATTAAGAGTTGTATGCAAATACCTCTCTCTTATGACTAACTCTTGACAAACCATGGCAGAAGAAATAGTGTAACCTAATCCTAATTAACACAATCCCAAGAGACACGTATTTGCAGGTCTGGAAGTAAATATCTTCCACTACTTTCTTCTCCAAAACCTTGGTCAAATTCTTTGCATGGTGTTTAAGGTACATTCATCCTTCTCAGAGAAAATCATTGAGAATGTGTGAGGTTAAGGGCCTCTGAGCGATAAAAGGTGTTGGTATTCAAAGGGGAAAGTGAGGACTTGATCTGAGTTTCAAAGTTTCAATGAAACAAGCTAGATGTGTCTTCAACCTCAACACATGGCAGAATTTTTTACTTTTACAGTGTTTTTCCTCTAGCTGCAGTTTTCAGAGGTGACCTATACATTTTATCCTAAAGTTGCTACATCAGAAATAGGAGTGCATTCCTGTTTTCCTTTTTTTTTTTTTTTTTTTAAATTTAGAAGCTGTGTTAGTTTACTATGGCTGCTGAGAAAAATTATCTCAAATTTAGCAGTTTAACAAACACGCATTTATTATCTTACAGTTCTGGAGGTCAGAAGTTCAAATTACGCTTTGTGCTAAAATCAGGGTATTGGCAGGGCTTTCTTTTCTTTCAGGAGGCTCTAGAGATGATCTATTTTCACTCCACCCTTCAATTTTGCTTAGTCAAAAAAAGTTTGATAATACAAAACAAAGATTTCTTGATTTGTAGAGCTTTATTTATAGTAATCAATAAGTTTATTATTTTCTTATTCAGACTGTAATATAAATGTTTTGTCTAGTTTTTAATGATCACAAAGTTAAAAATATGCTTGCTCTTTTTCTAATGAAAGTTATTAGTGATAATATTCTTTAAGGTATTTTCTCACCAGCATACTTCATTAGTCATCTGTATAAACTTCCCAACTGTATTATACTTTTAAAAATGTATCAGTTTCTTTGTGAGTTCTGTTGTTTTCTTTTGCTTATAAGAGTGTATGTATCCCTTTGGTGGTTTCCTGAGTTAGAGGAAGAAGGACAAAGCCATTCTCTCTGAGCAATGTTACCCTGAGCTGTTCCTTAGTGTAAAGGCAATATTTTTCATTACATAAATTAAAAACAGAAAATGAACAAGAGTGGGCTACTGTGCTGGTAATTAATACAGTTGAAAGAAATAAAAAAGGAAAGTTTATTTTAAGACATATTTACGCTTGGGTTCATGAAACCATCTCTGGTTATCTCAAATGCCTGCAAAGCAGAGGCACAACTCTAAAATGTGTGACTGCAGGCACAATAGCATCCAGACTGCTTTCATAAACTATCTGTCAATAATCTGAATGACACTGGAAGATGGCCTCCAGCTGCAGAGGAGAACACAGCCTCGCCAACCCCTTGTTTTCAGCCTTTTGAGGTCTTGAGCAGAGAATCCAGATGTACTTTCTTGGACTTCTGACTTACTGTGAGCTAAAAGATGGCACTTGTTTTAAACAGGTCTTTATGGCAATGTGTTACAGCAGCAATAGAGTTTACTTTAATTTGCATTTAAAAATTTATAAAGTATCTGTTTTCCAAGTTCAATAACATAACTAGAAGGTATTAGATACAATATGACTACAAAAATGTTTTCTTCATGACAAAACAAATAGCAGGCTCCTTTCTCAAAATATAAAATGGAGAATAAGTGCTCAAGATGTTATTAAAGTGTGGTTCTGGGTCTCTTTGGAGTTGTTCATTCATAGGCCAAATGTGATTATTTGGAGAAGAAAAATAGGAATTAATACTTGCACGTTCTATTTTGACATTACAGACAGTAGGACTTATTCCATATCTATAATTCAAATAATTAACAATCTTACTTATCTTGAACACTCACAGAATAAAATGATAAGAGTTTTCTGCACAGACAAAACAGATGTCACAAAAATATCCAATAAATAAGGTAAAGCTCTCATTCAACTCAACAGAAAGGACCTCAGGTATTCTCACAGAACCTTTTTACTATAATTTTAATACAATGTTAATAAGCTTAGTTACTTGATTTACAAGACTTTTTACAAACCTATAAGTCAAAATGATCTGGGGGAGTTGAAAGTAGCAATAGCTGATAGTGAAGGAATAACCAGAAAAAAGAAATATTGTTTTAACTCAAATAGAACAATCATTTATAGCTATTAAAAAACAACACATTATATAATGACTAAAGAACATTTTGGCCCAATAATAATGGTGATCCTGGTGCCATCAAATCATTTGGAATAGGTTAAATTAGTCAGATGTATTCCTTTTATGAAAACAGTAAATATTGAGAAGGATTCTGAAAATTTTTTAAAGCAAAAGATATGTTTCATGATACTTAAAATAAGACATAAAGCTTTAAAGAAGGTATTATTATAAAAAATTACTTATTTCTTGAATTTTTCATAGAATAAAATTTTCATTGACTTTCATGTATCTACATACTTATGAGAAATATAACTTCGAAATAACATTCTTACACTTATATAAAGAAGTATTATTGCAGAGAAAATATTTTTCAAGCACAAATAAAAGTCTTTACTTTTTAGGTAATTCGTTATATTTTACTAGGATGGCATTGTAACATTTCATAATCATCAAAATACTTTCATGTGCACCAAATAAACAACCAATGAAATTCTACATTCCCCCAGTATAAATATTTGTAAAATTATAATAAACTGATAAATAGCTATGTACAGATAGTCCCCGACTTTCAATGGTTTGACTTATGAATTCTCCGACTTATGATGGTGTGGAAGTGATATGTATTTGATAGAAATTGTAAGTCGAATTTCGAATTTTAATCTTTTCCCGGGCCAGCAATATGCAGTACAACACTCTCTTGTGAAGGTGGGCAGGACAGTGAGCCGCAGCTCCCAGTCAGCCATGTGATCACGAGAGTAAACAACTGATAACTCTTACAGCCATTCTGTTTTTCACTTTCAGACAGTATTCAAAAAACTACATAAGATATTCAACACTATACTATAAAATAGGCTTTGTGTTAGATGATTCTGCCCAACTGTAGGCTAACGTAAGTGTTCTGAGAATGTTTATGGTGGGCTTGGCTAAGCTCTGATGTTCTGTAAGTTAGGTGTATTAAACGAATTTTCAACTTACTATACTTTAAACTTGCAATGGGGTTATCAACATGTAATCCCATCATAAGTTGAAGATTTGTATAGAGATATAAATGTATATATATCATTAAGCTTAATGCTAGATTTTGAAGTACGTATATACATCTCAAAAACCAAGCATTTTGTTTAGTTTATATTAATTTCACTAAAATCAAGAAATACAAAAGGATGCCAACTTCTTGGCTCATAACCAAGGGAAACAAAAGTATGGAAAATCATTTTAATTATTTATATTTCATGTAACAGCCCACCTTAATAATTAAAAATTATTATCTTTAAAATCTTAGAAAAAAATTAAAATTTCTGGAAGTTGGCAAATAA